GCCTCGTACTCTGCTTGGTTGTTCGACGTTGGGAAGGAGAGAGCTAACGAGTGTTCGACCACTTCGCCTTCCTCGTTCTCTAGGAGGATTCCCGCGCCACTTCCCGACGAGCTGGAGGCCCCGTCGACAAAGATGGTCCATTTGTGTTCCTTCCCAGCGGGTGGGTCACGAGCGGTCATTTCCGCGACAAAGTCGGCCAGGGCTTGTGCTTTCATGGCTTTCCTACTCTCGTACTGAATGTCGAATTCGGAGAGCTCCAAGGACCATTTCAACATTCTGCCCGCCATGTCGGGCTGACCCAAGAGTTGCCTCACTAGTTGGTCGGTTCGCACGATGATTGTGTGGGCCAGAAAATAGTGTATGAGTCTCCTCGCCGCATTGACGAGGGCTAGAGCTACCTTTTCTATCTGTTGGTACCTGCTTTCGGGTCCTTGTAGGGCTTTGCTCGTGAAGTAGACAGGTTTCTGTCCGTCGGTGGTCTCGTGGATGAGAGTCGCGCTGATGGCTTCGTTTGAGACGGCCAAGTATAGGAACAGTGGCTCCCCGTCGGATGGTCGAGATAATACGGGTGGTTGAGATAGACTTTGCTTTAGGTGGCGTAGTGCCCGTTCACACTCCTCGTTCCATTCGAAGGTTGCTTCTTTACGAAGGAGTTTGAAGAAGGGGAGAGCGTGCTGAGCGGACCTCGCGACGAAGCGGGACAATGATGTGAGCATGCCATTCATGATTTGTATTGACTTCTTCGACGTCGGTGTCGGGAGGTCGGAGAACGCTCGACACTTGTCGGGATTGGCTTCGATTCCTCATTCTGTTAGGTAGAATCCGAGGAATTTTTCTGCCTTGACTTCGAACATGCATTTCTCGGGGTTGAATCTCATTTTACTTTGTCTTGCTTGGGCAAAGACTGCCTTGAGGTGTGTTGCATGGTCGGTGTCTGCTTGGGATTTGACGATCATGTCGTCCATGTAAACCTCGAGCATGTCCCCAATCTGCTTGTGGAAAACCCTGTTCATCATGCGTTGGTAAGTTGCCCCGGCGTTTTTTAGTCCAAAGGGTATTACGTTGTAGTAATAGTTGCCCGAGCTGGTCATGAAAGCTGTGCAGTGTTTTTCGCCCACGGCCATTGGGATTTGGTTATAGTCCGAGTAAGCATCCATGAACGACAACGTTTTGTAGCCGGTCGAGTTGTCGACCAACATGTCTATGTTCGGTAAAGGGAAAGCATCTTTCGGGCAAGCCCGATTGAGATCGGTATAGTCAACACACATCCTCAATTTTCCATTTTTCTTTTTAACAAGTACAACATTCGACAGCCAGGTGGAATACCGGGCTTCAGAAATAAAATTCGCCTCTAGGAGGTCTTTTATAGCTTTTTCAGCAGCCTTCGTTTTCTCTGGAGACTGCCTACGCCTACGTTGTACTACGGCCCTAGCGGCAAGATCTATGGCGAGGTGGTGACAGGCGACCTCTGGGTCGAGTCCGGGCATCTCCGCGGCGCTCCAGGCGAACATGTTAGCATTATCGCGCAAGCAGGCTTTGATTTGCTTCCTTGCCAGGTCGGGGAGATCCTTGCCAATCTTTACTCCTTTGCTCGGGTCTGTACCGAGGGGGACGAGCTCAAAATCCCCGTCCGGTATTGGTCGGAGTGGAACTTGCTCGCCGTTGGGAGGTTCTTCCTGAACGAAACAAACGTCCAGAGCTATAGAGTCGACCTTTGGTGGAGCTTTCTGGACTTCTTCCTTGGCGGATTCTTGTTTGTCGGGCTCCTGTCGCGTCGTTGCTGGTCTTTTGGCGGGCCTTGTCCCTACGTCGACAGTGTCGCGTCCCTTAGATGCAGCGTTGAAACATCTCCGAGCAGCGGCTAGGTCTCCCTGGATAGTATCTACCCGTGCCCTTTTGGTGTAGAATTTCATCTTCAGGTGGACGGTGGAGGGCACCGCTGTCAGTTCTGCCAGTGTTGGTCTTCCCAGGATGCAGTTGTAGAGGGACGGGCAATCGATGAAGAGGAAGCGTACTTTGACCTGTCTTGTCACTGTTCCCTCGCCGAATGTAACCAGGAGCTCGACATATCCCCAAGGTTTGGAGGTCGAGCTGTTGAAACCCTGTAAGTCCGACCCTACATATGGCGAGAGATGTGAGTCGTCCAGCTGCAGAGTTCGAAACAATTGGTTGTACATTACGTCGATGGAGCTTCCTTCGTCGACGAGGATGCAATGCACATCGAAGTTGGGCATTCTTTCCCTTATTAGCAAGGGGATTACCGTGTTAGGGGCTCCCCCGGGGAGCTCTTCTAGGTAGAAGGTGATGGGTTTTGACCTGCCCTTCACCCTTTCAAATGTCACTATTTGCGGGGGTGCCGCGTCGACCAGCTCATCCAACTTCCTCTTAGCCGAATTAATGGTCAAGTCGTTGAATCCTCCGCCATTGATGACCATGGCGGAGGGGAAATATTCCCACCTGCTGTGTGTTGTGAGCGGCTCCCGCAGGTGTTCGGGGACGTCGAAGTCCTCGGGTCTGGTCACAGAGAAAGCGGTCTGGATGGGGACCGACTCGTCAGATGGTCGAGCGTCTTCCTCCGGCTCTCTTGTCTCCCGGGCGTCACGACGAGGAGCGTCATTTCGCCGGTATTGTGCGAGCCTTCCTCCCTTGATGAGGGTTTCGATGGCGTCCTTGAGGTGGACGCAATCTTCAGTCAGATGACCATGGCTCCTATGGTACCGACAATACTTATTCTTGTCTGCTCCGGGCTTGGCGGGAGTAGGTCGGGGACGTTTGACGCCACCGTCCTTGAAGTCTGTGCTGGCACACTCCGCCAAAATGCGCTCGCGGGAAGCTGTGAGCAGAGTGTACTCGGTAAAACGCCCCGAGGGTCCCCTTTGCTCTCGGACTTCCTGGGGTATGTCTTCTTTTCTCCCTGGTTCGCCGAGGAGGAGGAGCTTCCTGGCGCGGGTTGCTGTTGGACCCGCGAGTCCTGGGGTCTCGGGCTCTGTTGGCCGCTTCTCTCTCCTCATAATCCATGTACGCCCGGGCCTTTTCGAGGAGGGCATCGAATGTTCTAGGTGGATCGATGCCCACGGCCTTTCTGAATTTCGTGCCGGGAAGGAGCCCCCTCTCCAACAGATATCTCTTCATGTGGTCCGCGCAGGGGACCTGTATGGCTTCACGGTTGAAGCGATTGATGAACTCTCTCAAGGTTTCATCCTGTCTCTGGATGATGGCCTCGAGAGCTATCTCGGTCTTCGGGTGTCGCCGAGATGCTGTGAATGAACTGATGAACTAGTTCTTCAGGTTCCGCCACGAGGTGATTGACCCCGGGGCGAGTCCTTTGTATCAGTCCATTGCCGCCTTCCTGAGGGTCGTGGGGAACAACCGGCATTTGATGGGCCCCCCGACATTGTGATAGTGCAGCATAGCCTCGAACCCGTCTATGTGGTCGACCGGGTCCGCGACTCTATCGTATTCCTTCAAGTGTGGAGGCTTCTCCATGCCCGGGGGGATGGGCGCCTCCATGATAGCTTGCGACAGGGGACCGCGGGGGTCGTCCTCGTCGCTCCGTTCCGGGGACAGAGATGTGGACCTGTAATACTGTCGGGCACGACGGTCCTGGTCGTGCTAGGCATCTCTCGAGCGTGGTGCTCGTTGGTTGATTCTTCCACGCCCGTCTCCGGAGTGTCTTCTTTCCTGTCTCGCGGGGGCGCGGTCGCGTCCTCCGGCTTCGATGATGGGTTGCCTCTCCAAAGGGGCGCCGTTTCCCCGATGGGCGGGGCGACGGGCTTCGAGAGGTATCTCTGTAATGTCTCTGCGGGGGAGACGGGAAATGAACTTTAGTCACTCGAGGAGGTGGAGTCTGGGGCCTCCGGTGCCTCCTCGGGGGTCTTCGATCGTCTTCAAGTGCCCTCAATCTTTCCTCTTGGGCGAAGATGAGGTAATTCGTCTGATTGATCGCCGCGAACAGCGCTCGGGTTGTGGCATCTGCCCCGGCGGGGACGGGGACTTCCTGAAACTGAGCAGCTCGATAGTTCGCGAGAGCTGCATCGTCTTCTTCGAGTGGCGGAGGGACCGAGGAGGATGAAGCGGTAGCTCCGTCTCGGTGGATTGAAGGCCCTGGGGCCGTTGACACAGGGATGGTGTTGTGACCGGGGTTACCGGCGTTATCAAGGTGTCCATTTTTATCCGCGAGGTTGTTGTTGGTGTCGACGGCGCGAACGTTTTGTTCATCACGAGCTTGGTCAGCCATGACGGTGATAGTTGAGTTGAGCTTTGGTCTTTGAGTTTTCGCAAGATGTGGAAGCTAGTTTCCTACAGACGGCGCCACTGATCTTACCGGATCAGACCTGGACCGTCACGACTGGCTCCGAGCTGAAGTTGAACGAGATGGGGGAGTACCTGCAAGGCACTCCGATGCTAAAGTAAGTGGCAGTACGAGCAGGCAAGAAAGTGTGTGTATGGTAAAAGAATGAATACCTGACCCTCTGAGAACAGATGGTATTTATAGCCTCCAGCGCTGGGCCAAGGTCCCTTCATTGGGCCGGACAGGTTTGGTCCAATGAAGGAACTGTCAGGTTCTACGTGTGTAGTGGGGACCCGCACGTGGTCTCCTTCTTGGGTGTTCTGCGAGAAGTACGGACGGACGAGGACGCGGTCTTTTCGGAATCCATGTGATGGTGTAATGGTCATAGTCTGCCCTACGAGGGGTGCTCGAGCTGAGGTCGAGCTGGACTGCATGGAGTCGAAGATGTCGCGCTCGCGGACGGTGGCGGACACGACTGTAGCTTCTTGGTCGGCGCAACCATCTGCAAAGCCGTTTGGATTGGTCTTTCATCCTTGCTCTTGGGTCAGCCCGGCCCAGTCCAGAACAATAATAATAAATACCCAAAAGGTTTTTAAGATGAGCTAAAGTTTAGACTTTATAATTTATATATTATAAGTTCATAAAAAAGAGCATAAACTTTATCATAAGTTGATTAAAAAAAGGATAGAAAAGTACTAGTAAATCTTACTTGTGTGTTTTGGAGTCCCATCCAGAAATATTGGCAGCTTCAGTAAGAGCAGCTTTCCAACTAAGCACTTTTTGTTTAGAATCATCCCTTTCACTATTTCCAAGATCCCTCTCATGTTTAGCAAACGCTTTCTCATAACTCCCAGTCTGATTTCTAATATCAGACGGATCTGTTTTATAGAAAACAGGTATAACAACTTGTCCGCGAACTTTTCTGCATTCAAGTATTTTAACAAGCTCTTCCAAACACCATTTAGAAGAAGCGTAGTTTTTTGAGAACACAACTATGGAGACATGTGAATCCTCAATGGCTTCAGAAAGTGTTGGCCAAACATCTTCTCCTCTCTTTAGGAGGTAATCTATGTATGTTTTGATTGATTTGTGATTGAAAGCATCATAAAGATGGCTTGTGAAACCGATCCGAGTGTCCTCGCCTCTGAAACTGAGGAATACGTCGTGTTTTTTGTTAGAGTAAGAGGTTGATAGTGTTCTGTTAGCCATTGCATGTTCTACAGCAAAGCAAAGGAGGAGGGTGCTCTTTATCTTTCATGTGTTTGACTAAAATTTCCACACCTACCCTCTTTTTTTTTTTGGTGAAGAATAAGAAAATAGAAAACACCGTTGATTTTAACGAATTTGATGGAAACAAGATATTAAAATTAAAATTAAAACTCAAATACATAGTATGAATGAATTTTATTAAATTGATATTTATTACTAACTGAATGAACATCAAATTTGAACTCTATTTTGTCCCCTCCCCTATTTGAAGATTTTGAATTCACAAAACTTGTCTCATTCTTATGTTATTTTTGTTTTGGGCGGATTTTCAAAATTTAAGGAAAGCGAGTGTTTTTTTTCTCCATAATCATCGCAGAAGATACTGATAATATTCTCGTAATATTATTACAAAAATCTACTTATGATTTCTATATAAATAAACAAAACAAATAAAATATAAGTTAAAAATCATATTGACTTTTTTTAGTGAGTAAAAAGAAAATACACCGATGGTATATAATATTTTTATAATATCAATCAATGAAAGATATCTATTACGATAAATTATATTTTTATTTTTAACATACTAAAATATTATGATAAATATAAAATTTTTAATTGATTATATATGTAAAATTGTCTTACAATGCACTATTTTCAAAAAATTTATAAAAGATAAATAATTAAATATATAAAAAAATTTGCTACAGGTGAAGATTAACCTAATTTCCCCTCAAAAATATTTAAACCAAAAAAAAGCAAGACTAGTCTATTTTTTATATAGGTTAATTGATAATAAATAAATAAATAATTGAAACTTAACTGATTGAATATAGGTTGGAATGAAAGAGGCTTCATATAAGAATGGTAATGTATAGGATTTATTTAGTGTACTATTTTACTCATCTTTAAAGTTGTATTTAGAGTTGTAGAATTGAAAACCACTCGAGAATCGGTCCGATGGAGCCGGACCATTAGATCGGCCGAAATGTCTCTTGGTCTGGTAATGGATAAAATTTGTATCCGTATCCAGCATGAAGAACCGGATCAAAATATCCAATAAGTAACTGATATGCATTGATATAAATTCCAAAAAATTTACATGTTCTCATTTTTCCTTTTCTCCTTTTTCAGTCGCTCTCTCTCGTCTCTCACATTATGTTTTCCTCCACCTGCCTCTCTCTCTCTAGGGCTTCATTTTCGATCAACACAACATGTTGGCTTTCATTATCTGTTAGAATTATTTGTGTTAAGAGGCACAATGTGGATTGTTGAAGGCTTTAATCTTGTTCGTGTAATGTATCCAAACTCTATTCTCTTTTCTTTCTATTATTATATATTTTTTACTTTTTTTTCATGTTTGAGTTATCGAGTAGTTCTCTACCTGGTATCAATTTTGACCTAATGCTTTGATAAAAAAATATTTGATTATGTTGCTGAGTTTTGAACTTCATTAGGGTTCGGCCTAGGGTTTTGATTTGAGGTTGTATTTTGTAAATTTTGTTGTTGAGTCCCGAGGTTGTATTTTGGACTAATAATAAATTGTTTTGCTGAGGTTGTTTGATTGATAATAAATTTTGTTCATATTTCATATAACATTATTGTTTGATTGACATTCATTTTTTTATGTCATGTCTTTTCAAGAATCTTCATTTACTCCAACCATGGATGATCTTATTGATATAAACATGTTGCTTGACCGGAGAGAGGAGACAATGGATGGAGGACATATAGATATTGGTGAGATGATTGATTTGGAACTTCTAGTTTCACTTCCAACTCATAACACTACTCAAAATACACATATTACTCAAAATACTACCACTACTCAAAATACAACTACTGTTGATGGGGAAACCCCTCCAATTGACTCAGCTCAGAGTTCACAGAGCCAGATAAATGCCTTTGGTAAAGCTCCTCGTCCCAAGAAATTTTCTCTTCATACTGAGATGCTACTTATTGAAATGCTTGATGGTACCAAGAAATGAAAATGTAAATGGTGTGGTAAGCTTTACAATTATGATGTGAGATGGAAAAGTACTTCTAATGGTAAGAAACATTTAGAAAAATTACATTCAAAGAAAGCTGAGGTTGAGAGGTAATACTGACAAAGAGGTTGCACAGTCTAGGTTAAATGTAGATGTTGATAATACTCCTAGTTTGGAAACTTGGACATATAATCATGCTAGGGTTAGAGAAGTTGCAGATCATATGATTCTAGGTCATGAATTTCCTTTTTCTGTTATGGAAGGTGTTATCTTTAATGAGTTTCTTAGAGAAATTTATCCATGGTACAAAAAAATTACTAGACAACAGGTTAAGTTAGATTGTGAGACATTTTATGAGGCTGAGAGAGTTAAGATGAAAAAGTCTATGTCTTTGATTAACAGGATCAGTCTTACAACTGATCTGTGGTGGTCTGGTGAACAGAAAATTGGTTATATGATTGTGATTGACATTTCATTTATTCAAAATGGCAGCTTCATAAAAGAGTTTTATCTTTTCAAAATGTGCCACCACCAGATTCTGGTGAGGTTTTGTGTAGGGAATTAATTAAGTTGATGGATAATTGGGGCATAAGGGATAAGGTGGTTTCAATTTCTGTTGATAATGCTAGTGCCAATGATAATTGTATTACTAGATTGAAGAGAGATTATTCTGGTAGGAGAAATCTACCCTTGGATGGTAAACTTTTTCATGTGAGATGTTATGCACACATCTTAAATTTATTGGTGCAGGATGGACTTGATATGATTAAGGTGACTGTTGATAAGATTAGGAATGGTGTCAAGTACTTGCTGAATTCTGAAACTAGATGCAAAGCGTTCAAGAAGTTTGTTGTTGAGTTGCAACTTGAAGGCATAATGCAAGTATTGGATACCAAGACAAGGTGGAACTCAACTTGGTTGATGTTGTCCACTGCATATCACTACAGAGATGTTTGGCCTAGATATGCCGAGGAAAATGGTGCATTTCTTTTTTTTTTTACCTGATGCAAATGATTTGGAAGATATTTGTGGTATTTGCAAGTTTTTGGACGTTTTTGCTGATGTGACATCAATTATTAATGAAATGAAGTTGAAGTATGGCAAGTATTGGCCAGAGTGTAATACATTGATTTTTATTGGTGCAATTCTTGATCCAAGGTATGCAGTTCTTGTTGTGACTTATGAGTTATGATGAATGAATTGCCTATGATGAACTGCTTGTGAATTGCTTATCTGAGGCCACTACTATCTGAACTGCTTGTGAATTGATTCAATTCAATTGTTTAAATTATATTGCCTGCCTTATTGTGACTTGTGAGTTATGATAAATTTGTTGCCTATGATGAATTGCTTATCTGAGGCCACTACTGTCTGAACTGCTTGTGAAATTGATTTTGATCAATTGTTTAAATTGTGTTGCTTGCCTTATTGTTACTTGTGAGCTATGATGAATTTGTTGCCTATGATTAATTTCCTATATGAGGCCACTAATGCCCGAACTGCTTGTGAATTGATTCAATTATATTACCTTGTGATATTGTGACTTAATTATGCCTAGGATTCAATTATGTTTCCTGCCTTGTGAGTTGTGATTTAATTGCGCCTAGGATTAAATTATATTTCCTTGTGAGTTGTGATTTAATTGTGCCTAGGATTAAATTATGTTGTCTTTAGTTGCCTATGATGAAATTGAATTCTGAGGCCAAATATTGGATGAAAATAAATCATCCAAATTAAGTTGGTTGACAACTCTACTTGTTCAACTAGGTATAAAATGATATTCATCAAATGTGTATATCCCTTCTTGTATCCAAATTCTACTCAATCCACTACCTATGAACAAGAGTTGGCAACCAACTTAAAATCTCTCTTCCAATTGTATCAAGATACTTATGGAACTAATGATGAGAATGCCCCTGTGTCTGAAACTCCAGAAGTATGATCTAGTTCTGGGTTGGGAAAGAGGAGTTTTGAGATGTTTTTAGAAACTGTTGTTGGTAATACTAATTCAAAATCTGATCTTGAATTATATTTTGAGGAGCCTCTCTTGAAAGTTCCCCCTAAAGCTAAGTTTGATATTTTAACATGGTGGATGGGGTATGAAGCCAAGTATTTTGTTCTTAGTAAGTTGGCCAAAGATATCCTAACTGGTCCAGTTGCAACTGTTACTTCAGAAGCAACTTTTAGTGCTGGTAAATGGATTATTGATCTGAAACGATCTTCTATGAAAACTAAGACAGTTGAAATGGTACTTTGTGGGGGTGATTGGGTGAAGGAGAAATATGGAATTAAAAAGGACTGCACTGCTAGTATTGTAAGTATCTTTTGCTTATGATCTATTTTAGTTGAATATTTATATGGCTTAAGCTTTTCCATTTATGTTGCCTTGTTTAACTTATGCTTTTACTGATGTAGCTTGAAGAACCACAAGATGAACCTTTAGCATTTCATTTTGGTGAGGATCCTGGTGTCTCTTCTTCGACAACAACAACTTTATAATGTTATTTTTTTGTTTTTTGAAATGTCGATGATTAGATTGTTCTGAGGCATCATTAATAAATGTAATGTTATTTTGTTTTTTTTTAAACATAAATTTCATAACTTATGTTTGAACAAGTTTTATATTTTTGAACAAATTTTACTTTTGAAAGCATAAGTTTCATAAATTATGTGAATGATATTTAGAATGTAATGTCAAATTCATATTTTGAATGGATTATTTAAAATGTAATTTTGCATCAGAAATTTTTTAAAAAAAAACAATTTTTTCCTTTAATTCGGGTGGGCCGGGTACCCGAACCGAAAATTATCGGTCCGATCTCGGATCCCCATGTCCAATAATCAATTTTCTGATCCGGTTTCAGTTTACTCAAAAGTTCCAGCTCGGTTTCTATCTTAAAATTTAACCATCATTGTTTTGGTCCAGTTCCAGTTTACTCGATAAGGGTTTCGGTTCAACTCTCGAGACTCCTTATACCTGGACCGGACCAGACCGAAAACAACCCTACTCGT